TCTTCAAAATTCTTTCACTTCCATAATTCCTGGAATTATGTGGAAAACTTGCATTTTATCTGTAAATACTTGACTGGTCACAGAAGATCATGTATTTCGGCAGCTACTGGGGAGAAGAGATAAAATTCTGCTTATAATAGTTGACATGCATCTTTCTGAAAGCCAGCATTCCACTAATGTAAAGTGGAGCCCTTCCTTCATGAAGGGGTTCGACGTCTCTCTGTCTGAGGTTGACATCTCTGTTTCTTCTTTCTCTCGTTATTCCTAGAATGCAGTCCCAACAGTACCAGCAGCAGCGTCGAAAATTTGCAGCTGTCTTCTTGGCATTCATTTTCATTTTGGCCACTGTGGACACTGCTGAGGCAGGGAAGAAGGAGAAACCAGGTAAGCAGCAGAGTTAGGATGGGATGCCTCATTGATTAATAGTCATCGAACCCAGCTCCCCGCCTTTGTTCCCAGCTCCCTTGCCTTTAATTCCTCCTCCCCCCCTTTTTTCTTTCTTTCTTCTAATTATTTAGAAGCAGCAGAGACATCTCCCTTGTTTTTTCCTCACTGTAGGTTCTGAAATATGATCCTATTAGGGGGTCCCTGTATAGAACATTGACTATTAATCAGGTGCTTTTATAAAAGAAGAGATTCTTATAATGAAGCCTAAAGAATGTGAGGAGACACTGTGTTAGAAATAACAGCTCTCAGTCATTTAAATATGTCATCTCTCTTCCCCAAATAATGTCACACAAGGATGTTTGTTTCAATCTTAAATTTACAAAGAAGGAAACTGAAGCCCATGTAGCACCTTCCCTGTGTCTCTCCTAGAGTCAGAACAGGCTGTGGAGTGGGGAGTCTGCTTATGTCTGTGTTATGTCTGTTATTCCATCCACAAGGCAGAAAGGGATGTCCACCTGCAGTGAAATAGATGATCTAATAACTGTTGGTTCTAATAAAGTGTTTTCTCTTTTTTTCTGAACATCTAATTTTTTCTGAACATCTAATTTTTAAAAAATACTTTTTTAGTTATATTTGGAACACAATACCTTTATTTTATTTGTTTATTTTTTATATGGTGCTGAAGATCGAACCCAGCATCTTGCATGTGCTAGGCGAGCGCTCTACTGCTGAGTCACAACCCCAGCCCTTGAACATCTGATTTTTTTTTAATAGAAATATCTACTTGTAGAAAGAGATGTCAATAAATCACTTAGTTTAACACATATAGGAGTTAAACTAGTAGTAGTTCTAGCTCTTCCTTCAGTTTTATTTCTCTATTTCCTTGATTACTCATTGATTCGATCAGGTGACTGACATCTGTCACATTCCTCCTGTTTACTGGACAGAATATAGAGGTAAACAGCTCTCTACAGTTAAGG